GTAATTATCGCTGTAACACTTTATCTGATAAACTGTCAAACAATAACAGTGATTATTGAAATGCTGTGAGATATATCTGTAGTGATCATTCAGCGATGTTGTCGTCATCTTATTAGCAGCGTTTTTATACTTTTATACCGATCTATCATGAAATGACTGATTCTCTGATTTCTTCGTTTTTTGTATGTCTTCTTCTGTTGTTTAAATAAATTTGTGACATTTTTTAAAGGCTTAAACCAGAAATACAGTATTATAAAGTGATATGAGGTAACTTAACTTTGATTCTCAATATACGCAGATGTTTAGTATATCGGTATTCAATATCATCTTGAGACACAATATTTCTATCCACTTTTCGATCTTGATAACCATCTGTAACTCAGTAGTACACACATTATTTAATTCTTAAATTTACCATATTATCATATCTTCCATTACTATTTGTCAAGGTTTTATTTGACAAGTTAATAAATGACCAAATTTGTCAAATTTGTTTATCCTGGTTTGCTGTCAGAATTTCACGAATTTTGATTTTTCAGAAAATAATTTTTATTCCAAAAATTTTTTTAGTAAATATTTTTTCAATTAAAATGAGCCAATTTTGGATGTCATACGATTTAATTCGGACAATTTATAAAATGCAGTGATAGCAATATACTTGGAATTCATTATTCACATTATTTTCATCACTTTAAAGGAATCATTGAAATATCTAGTTCAAAATAATAGAGGTGAATGCATATCGTGAATAATTTTGAACTGAAATCTCTATGCTATAATTTTCTTTTCGGTTTATTATTCTCAGTGCTGTCTTTCTATATTTTTAAATAATTGAATGTTGTTTTTAAAGTCTGAATTTCATCCTACTAATTTATTAAATGATTAGTATTCTTAATATTGTTTTTCTCGTTCTTCCTTTTGTTGCAAAAGTTTGATTGCACAGTTTCTTACGAACAAGTGGTAATGACGAATTGAAAACTGTTAATTGTATATTTCAATAATGTCACGGTGTTTCCTTCCAGTCTTCCATTTTTTTCCAGTTAAATATTCTGTGAGAAGTCAGTTCAAAAACTTGAACTTAAACTTTAATTTTGCTTACTGCCGGACTTAATCTCCTTAGTTCACTTTAAATCTGATACCTCTTTTATGGCTACCGTCAAAGTATGAAGTATTCTGCTGATCGTTAAGACGGGCATCCTATAATTTCCAGACTGGTTCCAAATTGACAGGAGTAGATCAATTAGTTTTTTCGGTCTTCAATTGCTTCCAGAGTTGCAGTGCCGTATGCGCAATCGTCGCAATACACATTCAGCATGAACTTAATCTATCTTTTTGTAACTATTTTTTCCCCTAGCAATTCTTCCCATTCCGTAAAGATTGAAGAGGTATTTTTCTTTCTAGCTAAAATTTCAACATTCCTATCGAAATAAGCCGAGGTCACTTTCGTGCATTTTGAAATTTTGAAAATAAGGACATCCGTTCTTCGTTTTTGTTTTTTGTTTTTTACTTGTTTCCTCTGTTTTCTCAGTGACCTGATGAATCTGACTGTATATCCAATTAATTGAGAAGTGCAAGGGAAAAACTCAGAAGCGCCTGGTTTTACTGTTTGAATCTCCACCTTACATTTAACAATTTTAATTTTTATATGCATTTTATGCCTAGTAATATGCTCCAAACATAACTGTTTCGCATGAAATAAAGCATTAGAGATTGCAACAGTTCCGTTTCTTCATCTCATCGAAGAGCGCATACTACGCAAGTTTATCTACTGTACGATTTATTGTTTTTGGATCAAGCAGATTTTAAATTTGTTTCCAGCATATTCCAAAATTTACTTTCGAAATATGTTTACAACCTATTATTTTAAATCAATTTAAGTTGATTTTTTTGATTGAAGGTAATTTTTTATGTAAGTGTAAGAAAAAAGCTTAAATAAAAAGAAGCAAAAAAGAATGATTTCTAGGATGAATGGTGCTTCAAATAATTAATATATATATATATATATGCATGCATGCATGCGTGTGTTTGTGATAATTGCAATACCTCGTTATTCACCTTGTCACCACTATTTACATAGCGAATTCAAGTGAGCTTAACCATGGTGTGCTCATTTACATCCATATGAATTCATTTAAGAAGTGAGTGCCATCAATAAATTTAAATTTCACTTTTTTCTGCTTCTTGTTTTTATGGCATATTCCCACTTAGACCATTCCAGTTTTATTTATAATTATCAATGCTACATGCTAATGTTAGTGCAGTCATTATAGAGTTGCAGGTCCACCTTCTTGTCGTTTCTACGACATCTGTTGTCCTCCTGAAAACTGTAGGTTCCCTTGGCCACGATCTAAGTAAATGTTTGCATACATTAATTTGATTGCTAACTTTTATTGCATTGGCTGCGTCGTAGCTTTGTGTATCATTTGGACAGTTTTTTCAAAACTATTGCTCTTTTGCAGATCATTTACAATTGGCTAGGTATTACCTATAGTAATGCTAAATTGAATAAAGTAAGTATTATCTATAAAGTGAATAAAAATTCAGTTTAATTTATGCAAATTTCATCTAATTTACAATTCTGATTTAATATGTATTGTCAGATTAAGTAATGCCAAATCGCCTTTTGATATTTTAGTTAGGCTTCGAATTTGGAGTCTGTACATAGGATATTGATAAAAGTTGTTTTTAAACTCTTATTCCACTTTGTTTTGAAGAAATAGTGACGGCTAGTTAGATGATTAAAATTTAGAATCTCGTTAAAATTAGTCTTCATGATGGACTAGTTTGATTTACAAGAAATAAATTTGCTATCATATTTCTATTAATCTTTTCTTCTTTACGACTCAGAATTCACTGGACATCAATTTAAAGCTTCAGATTTTTCGATTCATTTCAAGTAGAACGAAAATTCACTTTTCTTGTTGATTCAGGAATCCGAAAATTAAGAAAATAAAAAACTTTTTATTAGAAAGAAACAGATAGTCTTAAAACATTTTCATTTTATTTAGGCATCTGTTTTCTTTTATAATTTCAACAAAGCGTCTTTTTTTTTTTCGTTCGTGCTTTGTATATATTTGCAGGATACAAACGCGTTTTTTAACTTCTTCCTGTATCAACAATGGCAGGTCTATTTCGATCTTTAAGTCAACGTTTTCGACGTTCAAAAAGGCATTACCATCCAGGTGGAGATGCTGCTGGGACGAGCGAATATCAACAGGTTTGCTTTTTTCATTAGAACTTTTTATAAAAGATTTCTCAAATAATCATCTCATTTTCTGGAAATTGATAGAGTGTTTTGTCGAACGAATTGATGACATGATTTAAACGCTTTGTTGTTATTAGTTGATCGTCAGCAGTTACATGTAGTTTACTTCTCGCGCTTCGTTATAAGAGAAAGAAAATTGTTTCCGCATTTATCATAACGGATAATCATTTCTAAAAACACAATTTCCAAAACTGTTTAAAAAATGAGAAATAAAACTGGTGAATTTTTCTAATTGCTAGGGTAGGCTGCTAAGAAAGTTATCATTTAGAGTTCACCGAGTACTGAGATCTTTCCAGGAATAATATCTCATAAGCTTGCCATCATTAACTTTGATTGCATAATTTCAAAAAATTAATTTTTAACAGCTAAGTTTTCTTTTAAGGCATTACTGTATTATTCAGAAATTCCTGTGAACCAACTTTTTCGCTTTCTTTATTTTTTTATTTGTTGTGACGTGGTGCACTCTCTCTAATTTCTCCAAAATTCACATTCTAAGCAATGCTTTCAGGGAAACAAAAACGAAAATTTTGATAAATGTCTTTATCCTTTTCCGAAATCTTTTCTAATTTTCTAATCGGAATTTTTTTTGCTCAAAAATCAAATTACATGAGTAACTGAAGAGGTAGAATGTTTAAATTACCTTGAACTATTTTCGGTAGTTTTCGAACATCTTTGAAAATTTTAGAAACAGCTTTAGCATGAATAGTTGTTTCATCTAATATAATATAATATTTCATCTAATATAATATATTATTATTATTATTATATATTGTATTATAATATAATATAATATAATATAATATAATATAATATTAATATAATATAATATAATATAATATAATATAATATAATATAATATAATATAATATAATATAATATAATATAATATAATTTAATTTAATTTAATATAATATAATATAATATAATATAATATAATATAATTTAATATAATATAATACAATATATAATAATAATAATAATATAATATAATCTGAGGTTGATATGGCAAGAGAATTCTGCTGAGCTGCGCATTTTCCCCCAAACATAAAATAATGTGAGAACAGATCGTTATTTGGTTTGATGAGTAACTCAAAGTTTTTTATACTTTGTCGATACATTCGAATGCATTATGGACATATGTGTATATCTACCATTGCAATTACAACAGCGTTTAAAAAACAGTCAAAAAAACATCATGTCGTAAGAGATGTCGCCGATGATCGATTTTGATTATGTCACTTTGATTTCACCTGAATTTCTGCTTTTTTTTCTGTTACTATCCACTAATTCTTCAAATTTGGATTTGTGAATGAGGCTATCAAAATTAAAAGCTATCTTGTAAGTTAGATTTAAGTATCTTTTTTTTTAAGACGAAGAAAAAGAAGAAAGCGAGACTCTTAGCTTTTCCTTTTCTTCTTTGTTTTTATAAAATTTCCGTTTTGAAAAGTGAAAAAAAAAACTGTTGCTATACAGGTAATATCAAATAAAGTAAGAATTTTGCGCCAATCTTTTATTATTGCTATTGTCATCTCATCTTTGTTTTATAAATATCAAAAGATACCCAAAATTCCGGTCATCAAAGATTTTTTTCTATTTGTAATTTTTGAATGAATTGTATCATTAATTACTATCTGTAACGATCATCAGCTATAATTTTTGGTTGAACCGGAAATATGAATAGATAAATTTTCCTCATTTGGAAACTGAAATGTTGCCATATTATACTGGTATCAAAATGAGATGTGGTTGTGAGGAAGAATTTTCCGGAGAATATTATCGTTGGGTATGCAGTTTGTCACCCTAAAATAATACATGTAAATGATGTTGTGTATTAGTATTAGGAAGGATTGTCACTGACTGTTGCGTCATACTCTTACATACATGGGTTTATTGATTCCATCCCACGAGCAATTGTTGTATGATTGTTGATTGAGCGTTAACCCGCTTGTCCCAACAAATTATTATTATATGGAAATTATTCCTTGCAGTGCTTCCCCTACCACTCATATCAGTTTGCAAATAATGCTCATAAGGAATGTATCTTGCGCTATTTGACTAATTACGATTTGCGCTCCTTATCCACGCCACTGTGTCATTTGTAGTAATTGGTTTATCATAGTTCCATATCTTTCATCTTTTACATCACTTCTCATCAAGCAGATTGATAATTTCATTAACACCTGAGTTTCATTCAGGATCCATAGCTGCCGTCCCAACTTATTCGGTTATGCTGTCTGGCATATCCGATCTGGTACCCTGGAATCGGTTGGTCCAAATATCAGTTTTTATGTAGTGATTTTTATAGAAGAGAAAAAAAATCAAAAAAGTTGTACAACGGATTTCAAAGCTTTGCTTGAAAGAAATTCCGAATTCTAATTAACTCAAAAAGTGATATACTAAACATTCCTTACTTATTAAGCTGTTAGTTATACGCACGCTGTCTTCTAGAATTAAGAAATAAATCAGATTCCTAGTTATGGCATCCTTTTTCATAGATAAAAGAAACAATTAATCAAGTGGGAAATTAGATAAATCCTCTTTAAAATTGTGTTTGCATTTCTCCTTTTTCATTTCTTTGAATGATAATCTTATTACAGCTTCTGATGTATTTTTATAGAACTAAATATGAGCAAAATAAACATAAATATTCTTTACGAATTTTTGGAGAAATTTTCGTGTGTTTTATTTAGGGATTTGACCAACCAGAGATGAATTCTCGAAAGCATTGTCAGTGTAAAGTGTTGTTGCTTGATGGTACGGATATGAATATTGTGATTCCGGTACATCTTTATGTTCCTTTAAAAATGATAAAAAGAACTGTTTGTCTTTTGCTGTCGAAATTATAAAAATAATCAGTGCTTTTTTCATTCTTTTCAACAGGACCTTCCTTACTGATTTTGTTCGTAATGCTATGCTCTTTCTTCAGCCAAAGAAAGAAAGAAAATGGCTCTTAATTAGTTTGAATTTCACTCTTGACTCTTACTTTTGATCATCCTGTTAAAACATCTTCGAAAATCTGATCTTATATCTATTCAGTAACAAATTTCCTATTTTGAGAAAAATGCTCCGGGTCGGGAACTATACGATCAAGTATTTTATGCGCTAGATTTAGAAGAGCGAGATTATTTTGGTTTGCAGTTTATGGACCACTATCATGTGCAGGTATTTGCAGCTTTTCAATTCCTCAAATTTGGTGCAGTTATTTATTTGTTTAATTCAGATGGGTTTTTCGTCCTGTGTGCTGAATTTTGCTGCAGTTCTGTCCAAAGAAGTCCGACGGGCGGAAACCAGAGGAATTGAGAGTCCTTGCGGTTGAGTGTGGTAGAAAAGTATAAAATTGTTTAAAAGGAAGCTCCTAGTGCCCAGTTATTTTGGAATAAATCCTCATTATGTTATACAGAAAATATTAATTTCAGCATTGGTTGGATCCGGTAAAACGAATTAATAAGCAAGTACCAATCGGCCCGCCTTACACATTTCGGTTTCGAGTAAAATTCTATTCTTCGGAACCAAATAATTTGCGCGAGGAATTAACAAGGTGACGTTTTCAAAGTTTTCATGTAGAATTTTCAAGGTTCTCATTGAATTAAGTTTTTCGAGTTAAATGAAAACTTTGAAATTGTTTGAAAATAAATGTTATTTGTTTATGATGAGATCCATTTTCAACTAGCATTTGTTAAATATACTTATTAACTGAAAATAGAAAAAGTGATACACTAATCAGACAAATTATACTTAAAATAGACTACGTATTGATTTGCAAAATATACCAAACATTTCAATTTTTAAAGGTACCAGTTCTTTCTGCAGCTGAAACAGGATATTCAGACTGGAAAATTAGAATGTCCCAAAGATACAGCTATTGAACTTGCTGCCTTTGCCCTGCAGTGTAAGGCTTGCATCCATTTGTAATTGGTTTTTCAAAAATTTCATTTCGAAAGCAGCTTTTGTTTGAATTAGTAAAGTTGCTTTATCTTTCACGAATGTAAAAAAGGCAAGATTAAAATACTTTATGTATGAAGCATAAAAAAGTAACGACCATCTTACCAATCTTTATCAACCAAAGGTTTATTAGATAGTAATGTTAAGCAATTCAATTTAAACCAAACAAATCTACCCAAATTTACATACTTTATTTTTACAGCTGAACTTGGTGATTATAACCCTGTGGAACACACACTGGCTGTAATTTCGGAATTTAGATTTCATCCCGCACAGGATGAAGAAATGGAAATTGCGATTTTGGAAAAATTCATCACTTGTCGGTATTATTCTTTATACCATCAGGAACGTAAAGTGATGTGATAACTCATAAAGATAAAGAAGGCTGTTTATTTTCAATAAAAAGTGATGGAGAAATTCTGTCAAAGAATGAATGTATTTTAGAGGACAGTCACCAGCTACAGCTGAAATAAATTATTTGAATAAAGCAAAATGGATAGAACTGTATGGTGTTGATATGCATACTGTTGAAGGAAAAGATGGCAACTTATACAGGTTTATTTCCTTCACTTTTGATATTTTTCTTATCAACGAAAATAATAATAGCATATTCTACAAGGATCAATAAATTAGGAATTAATTAAATTAGCAACAGAAAAAGATATTACAGCTTGGGCTTAACACCTACTGGTATGCTAGTATTTGATGGTGTTCAAAAGATTGGTTTATTTTTATGGGAAAAAATCCAGAAACTTGATTTCAAAAATCGAAAAATCACTCTTGTCGTAGAAGAGGACGCCGATCAGGCTGTAAGTTTATTTCCCCTCAAATCTCATTCTCAATTTTTAATCTTGTTTTCTACATCTTAGTGAGAAAATATTGTACAAAGAAGCAAAAAAAAGAGGACGAAATCACTGCTTTAATAACTTGCTAAGCCTAATTGAGATGAACTATGTTCGTACCTGTGTTTAGTTTGGTTCGTTATCTTCCTTTTCATTAGTTCGTATTGCTCAAAGTTTTTACTTATTTTGAACATTTTATATAATAGAGTGGACAAGTACAACTACATACATTTGTGTTCAATCTGTCATCTCATAAAGCTTGCAAACACTTATGGAAATGTGCTATTGAACATCACACATTTTTCCGGCTCAAATACCACAAGCCGCGAATCGCTAAAACATCGCAACTGTTCCGATTAGGTAGCACATTTCGGTATAGGTAAAGTTTTCTCATCTCTCCGATATTTCGCATCATATTGATTAAATAATTCGCAGCGAAGTTTAACCATCACTTACATATATCAATACGATCTTTGTAACCTTTGAACTGCATTCTGATCGTTGTATCTTTTCATCAAATGAAGTTTTAAAAAGAGGTCGAACGGAATACGAAAATGTACATAAAGATGGTGGGCGGCTTTCTCGTCGACAATCAGCCACGTTTGAGAGACGGCCATCTCAGCGATACGGTCCAAGGCAGAGCCTGATGAACAAAAGAATACAACTTCGAAACGATTTCAAAAAACAGGTTTATAGTTACTGCAAAATTAGATATAATTAATAGTCCTAAAGGATCTTAATTAATCTACTCTCATTTCTGTGTACCAAAAGATTACCAGAATATTTCTTTTTTCATTTTTTTGAATATTTTCTTAACTCTACAAATTATTGACATCACAACATTTGAGGTCTGAATCACTGGCATACTTCATCTTTGCATTTGAAAATTTTGTTTAGATTGGTGTTTCCGTAGGATTACCAGTATCAGTTCCTATTTCCCTTGAAGGATCGTGCATTGCTGCAAAGTTAGTTTTTCTCAGAATCCATTAGAAATTTAATAGCACTCGGAATTTTATCTTCGTTATTGATTCTGTGTTTGATTTATTTGCATAGAAATTTAGCAGTTCATTAAGCTTTCAGCACATTTTGGGGTTAAATTAATTTTCACTAATTTGATCTTGTAGCAGTGATACGCCTATGTTGAATAGTAATGGTATTGCAAGCAGTGATAATAGAAACGCTATTAACGTTTACGTGAATTCATCCGGAACCGATACGTTATTCGACAGGGTTTGCTTTTTTCTCAGCAGAAAATCAATTTCAATAAAAATTTTTTTTCCCAAGTGTTACGAAATTAGTCTTTCCGGAAAGAGATAAATACTTCCATTTTGAAGTTACATCTGGTATATTGCATTCTTCAAATTTTAGATGACTACAGCGCAGAATGTAATAAGTAATGAACAAATTAATGATATCAGAAAGCTCGATAAATCACCGTCTATTTCAAGAAAGCAGTATAGTTCAACAAAAGGTAAATTATTCTTAAAGTAGTAAATACATACCATTCCTTTATTATGCGAAAACACTGACATTTTCTTCACAAATAGATTATTAGTTGTAGTAAATATAATCATTTTTCGAATCGTTTTTTAAAATTTAACATTTCAGATCTTGCACATTCCAAATTCACTCCACTACAATTCATAGATGGTATAAAGAAATCGGAAGTTGTTGACACGAACTTAAACATGGATCATGGTAGGCTCTCTTTAGTCATAATTTAAGTCTTAGATAAGTCATAAAACATGATATTATATTCAATTTGCACTAAATTTTAGTAATCCTATGTTCAAATTTAACTTTGTTCCGTATTAGAAAATTCTTCATTCGGGAATATAGAAGCAGAATAGAATAAATGGGGAATAGGAACAAAGTATAACAAATGTAAACAGACGTAAATATTTAATAAATATAAATGAATATAAATAGAGGATATAATGAAATAAACAAAACAGTAAACAGAAACCGAAATGATAAATAGCATGAAAGCATTGTCTTACATTTATATTATCAATTATTAGCGTTACTCTTCTGTTTGATGTCTCAGTCAAATTTGAACAAAAATAAAGAAACGATTAATTATTCATTTCAGAGCTTGTGCCTGGATGGTCAGAGTTGCCAACATCAACAGGATCAGTAACAGCCACAATCCAACAACCCGCGACTAGTCATGTTACAAGAATCGCCATCACTAATAATGGCTCTCAAGTAGGTTGTACTCTGCCACCACATGTCTCTTTGCAGGATGCGTCAGTCACGCATTGCGTACGCCTTATTTATTTAATGTTTCGGATATTTATCAAAATTTGACAGTTATTATCTCTTTAGTTGCTGAGAACAAGGAAAAAAAATTTTGCTGGTATTTTTAAGTAAAAATTCCTTCAATTTTTTTCGACGACTTCACTTTTCTCTTCTTAACCGCTAATTTCAGCTGCTTTTTTTTTCTTATTCCCACCGGATGTTCAAAAGTTAAGATTTACACATTACATTCTTAACTAAATGTTGAATAATTAATTACAATCTAATAATAATAATAACAATTACAATTACAATCTAAACATCATTTAATGACTGATTTTTTTTGTTTGAAGAAGATAATTGCTTAGCTGGTAAACATGCACTCTATCGATAATAGCAAAAACATAATGCTGATTCTATGAAATTTGAACAAAAATCTTTTTTAAACCTTGAATTTTTTCATGTCCCATTCTTTAAAAACTCTTTAAATGTTTGCCCTAAACACTGTAGTAATCCGTTGTTACTATTATTACTAATGGAATCTTTAACATGAAAAAATTTAACATTAAAAAAATTCTTCCTTATCAATGTCAATTAATAAAAAAAGATTTCAGCCTATAAACAATAGCAATAGTACGTCACCACTGGAACATATTCTGCCTGTTTCTACTGCTGCACCAAATACTCAACAATCGCTTATCTCAAAAAATGTCTCAGAAAATAGTTCTGGAATGAAATCTTCCGGATTGTCAATTTCCAGTCCAACTAATCCAGCAGGGATTTGTAAGACTTCACCCAGCAAAACATATGCCGGATCGCTAATCCGTCCACCGCTTTCTTCTATGACTATGACATCTTTGAACCAAACTTTCGTAGTCTCGCCAGCGAAAGAAGATTTCCAAAATTCCACTATAATCAATGGAAATGCTCATCCCACTATAACCAGCAGTTATTCTTCCATCCAACATTCATCCGTAACAAATAGTCAAAATGCAGTGTCGAATACGATTTCTGCTACACTCTTATCCTCTGAGGGAGTTAAGACTGGTATTTTTACGACAAATGATCGTAAACTGTTTAGGCAAACTGAATACGACGTTAGGCCTGACAAAAGTAATACAGCTTCTGCTAGCCGCCTACCGGAACTACAATCACGTATACCACATTTGCGCACAACAAAATGCTCCGGTACAACTGCAGTGAGAAAAATATGCATTCCTTCTGAGTCAGCAATGCAAACCTCGACATTGAGCTTTGAACCTGTTGAAGCAGTTGCTGACAAGGCATATCGGTCTCGACTACCGGTGAGAAGTGGTCATGCTAGTGGCAGTTCAATGACAGCTTCTAATACACATGAGCCTAGGACTTCTACTTGCGATGAGGTATGCTTAGTTTATTTCAACCTTACGGCCTTTATATTTTATGTAATACTTAACATAAATGTAGCTTTCCTTCAAATGCCTAATTTGATTCGCAAAAGATCATTCCATTGGTCACAATTTCCGAAAAGCTACGTTACGTTAACTATTATATATGAAATAATCGTTAAAATTTACAAATGTTTTACTCCAGCGCTAATTCAAACCTTGTTAGACTGTTTGGAGTAGCTCTTCGAGAAAAGCCCTTTTTTTGGAGAAGTTACAACAGTTATTTTTGAAGCTGTTCCTCAATATAATTTATTATGTTACTGTAATTTCTTATGGATTATTATGTATTTTGTTACCGTTTTATTATTAATGTTTACACACTGGTACTGGTTCATTTTTTGCCAGTGTATTTCTTATAAAAAGAGTTCAGATTGCCTTTCCTACAAGTTCTAGACTTTTGTGTTTCTGTTGCTAGTCTCATTTATTTCCATTGAATTTTTTTTTCTGAGAAAAGGGGAAAAACTTGATGAATTTATGAATTTTATTTTTTATCCTTGAGGATAATTGCTGCAAATAAAGGATGAAAAAAAAAGTTAGCTTATTGTTTCATATTGATTTCTCTTTCTCTTATGTCTTGAGGTTAGGGAAAAAATGAAGTTATTGGCAGTTATTTAGGAGTTTTTGGCATATTATGATGGCGGCGGAAAGCGGAAAGCAATGAAATGAAATCACAATTCTTCCATTTTTCAGCAATTACTAAAGCAGTTGACGTCTGCCAGCATTTCCGCAGATCTCATATCATGTTCCCATCCACAAGAATTTCTCATTTCCATGAATAAAACTATGAGTAGAACAGCTGCTATTAATCAAATATCAATTTTTAGTAAGCAGCTTCGAAAATAAAACTTTTTATTAGCGCCCTGTTCAGCAAAAGATATTTCCTTGTTTATAACCATTAATTTATTTCAAAAACTAGATTTCTCTTCACCGTTATTTTCTTTATAACATTTAATACTAATTTGCAGAAGATATCACAAAGTCGAATACCCGTAATGGCTAGCAGTATACATCGACCACATTCTCATACGCAATTTACTAGCCAAATGTAATGTCATGTTTTGACAGTAATATTTCTTACCTTCAGTCCAATTTGCTCTTTGAAGTTTCGAAATAAGATCTTACGAATTTTCCAAAATTCTTCTGCGATTTTATACTATTTTCAGGATAAAACCTGAAGTATCGACAACATGTGCTATGATGGCATCAACAAAAAGCCGAATGATCACTGATTTATGAACTATTTTTTCATTTAGCAGCAAAAGAATCCCTAACTGTTTTAGTTGTCTTCTAATAAAAGTTATAATATAAAAGAAAATTATCGGTAGTGTACTGACTGAATGCACCTAATTTTCCACTTCTAACGATCTGTTAGAATTAGAGTTCCCTTGAAATTAATATTGAAGTTCTATTTACTCTTTCAGATGAACAAGGGTATTGTAAAGTAGTATGAAAATAAGTGTGGGTATGGACGATGCAAGAAAATGTAGCTGTTGAAGAGATATTAGTTAGCAAACAAATATATATATAAATATAAATGAGAGGAATTTTTTCACAATGCTTTTCTTCTGTTGATATATTTATTTGCACTGCATTTCTCTTAGTTTGTTTGTGTGTTCTATCACGTCCATATCATGTATAAAGTGTTGTTAAACGTTTAAGAAATTTTTTTATTGATTCATTCAGATGATATTTCTGAATGAAGAAATCGCAGAAGGGCAATGAAAATTTCCGAATTTCAGCTATCAGAATGAGTTAATTTATAGCATGCAATGTATATGATAATAATTGAAAGCTGAACGAAATAAGATTTTCCCAATCATTTGGTAAAGAATTTATTATAAAGTTTAACCGAGCATATTTAATATTGGATTTACAGCATTTGCTCTAAATAAATTTTAAAACCGCTCGTGATTTCGTACGGAAAGCACCCAAGCACACAAAAGAAGGTTGCGGAAGATTCTTGTGAGATAAGTTGATTGCTTACAGAACGAGCCCAGGTATGATGTACTTGTATATCATAGTGTTCGGTGGGATTTATTTCTCAACATCTCAGATCAAAATCACTTTGCAGGAGAATTGAAATGAATCAAATTGGACTGAATCACTTTCGGGAAGAGAATGATGCAATGAAGAGATTGCATCATCTCAACAAAACAGTGACATCGTCGAAAAATCTAATTCAATTCTGCTACCAATCAAGGAACTACAAAAAGCAGTGTTTTGAAACAAGCGTGGCTATCTATAATTATTTATATGCAAATGAGTTTCAGTTGGTAGTAATTTTGGCAGTTTCAGCAAAACATTCATTCAGATGGGAAGACAAGGACAAAGAGTTTCGGTCGTTTCGTCATGAAGATGTGCACTCATCAAGCATTCAAGATAGATGATAATTATGGAAGTAGCTAGGTAAGTAGAATACTAGAACATTACTGGTCGATACGCCGGTAGAAGTGAATTGGGAAGGTCAAGTGACCCCACTTTCTCACGAAATGTGAATATTTGAATGATCTACTACTATTGATACTGAGGAAGAAATAACATTTGCATATCCGAATCTGAATCGAACTGAACGGAATAGACATCTTCTGTGTAAATAGAGTTTTCCTGCATGTCTGTTTCTCTTTCTTTCGCACTATATATCGCAGCAGTTGCATAATTTGATGAGCAGACTGAAAAACGGTTGAGTATCAGCTGCAACAGTGGTACGAATGAATGGAAGCGGTACTTCATAAACTTACCTGGCTGGGAGTTCTCCGCGATCAAGAAGGCGGGGGCTTCATAGTGAGGCTTGGCCATTGCACTTCGGGTCCAGGCTGACCTGTGTGGCTACCCCGAGTTGGGGTCAGCCAACAGCATAATTTTTGCGTTTGGGGGAGTAGCGTTCGCGCTGACCCCCATTACAATGTGTCTAAGGTGGGAGTAGATGTCTGCATGTGTTCTTCTCTTCGATGTGTACTATGCCTGTCCTCTTTTATTCTTTCTCTGTCTGTGCTGTTTCTCTCATCCCTGCTAGCATTAGGGGCAGGTCTTCCATTCTCATTATGTCGGGTGGCGGTTCGTTGTGACAAATTTCCTGTTGGGAAGTTAAGTTCATTCTCTTTCACTCGGTCCTGTGCCGCTTCCTTGCAGAACAGTTTTTTGCTTGTTGGGGTGACGATGGAGCATGCAGTTGGCAAGGTTACATTCAAGATAACTTTGACAAGCGATCCAAAGCTACCCTTTAAAGTGTAAGTTACTCAATTTTTTTAAGTAAAATGCAGATTGCTACGATCACAGTGTCTTTAAATCATTAATAATAACAAAAAATGATTCAGAAGAGGAAAATATATTTTTCAAGAAATATATTTTCTGATTGATGGACCTTGTTGTGAGATGAACGAGAATAATAGTTTCATTTTTGCCAATTGGTTGCTTGTGTTTGGGAGCGGGACAACTTTTTTTAATTATTATTCGTTTTATTATTATTTCTACGGTTTCTGGTAGAATTTCCTAAATAACCCAAATGGTTTATGGTTACCTTTTGTCTTTAAGATTCATTCTGTTTGTTATTTCGTCATTTCATCAGCAAATGCAGGTACCATAACTTGAGATAACTTTACCAGTTCACTAGGAATTTGGAATTCCGTGGGCTCAGGAAGAAACTTTATTGTTTTCAGGCTTAGCGTGCCTGAGTCTACACCTTTCACAGCAGTTTTGAAATTTGCCGCAGAAGAATTTAAAGTACCAGCTGCAACGAGTGCTATCATAACGAATGATGGGGTAGGTATAAATCCAACGCAGTCGGCTGGTAATATATTTTTGAAACATGGAAGCGAATTGAGGCTGATACCAAGGGATCGAGTAGGTTATTGTGAGTAACGGATCCGCTCATAAGTTGTTTTTTATTTGATAGACTGACGAAATATCTGTGATAAGAACGCCTCATAAAACTTGATTGCCGATTTTTTGAAGAGCTGGGACCATTCAGTGATAAATGCATTTTAATGGGATAACAAACTGTCGGTTCCAGTTTATTCCATCTAATGAAATTTAAATGGCTGAGGGATCTTTTGTTATTCCGTGGTGGACTATATTATTCATGTTAGTTTCAGTTGTTGCTAATTTAAAATGTCGATAAAACTGGGTTCAAAGAATATTTCATCCATATTCGGATAATCTTTAAAACTTGCAGCAGTATTTTGAAAAGTTAAGTGTGTGACTCGCCACAAATCTAAGAAGTGAAGCTATCGAATATTTATTCATTCAGTATATTTTTTTTTTGGTGGTTCTACTGGACTGTAATAACGTGCAGTTCAATTTATTAACTGATACTGGTGAATTGGACTGATTGGTTTTAATCCTCTGACTGCGTAAAGGATTTCTATTTACTACTATATGTTTTACATACTAATAATGCCAAATCCTTTTCTTTCTTAGTTTGCTTGATGTGCTAATTAATTTTGAATGAGAATTCGAGAGTTATTTGGGAAGTTTGTAAATCAGCTTTAATAGAAAGAAGTGACGATGATTGATATGTTTCCATTTATAAAATTTGTAAAATTTCCAACAGAACTTTTGGTCGACTCACTTAATTTTAAATGAGGTTACATTTTACGCATTTTACATTTAAGCAGAAACCTCAGTTTTCTTACTTCCAACTGTTTGATTGTAATCCACAAGCCTTTCCGACAAATTCAGTTTAAAGCTAATTGGATTGTTGTCTTGTTTTAGTTTACTACTGCTTTAGCTTATCAAATTTCAATTGATGAAATATACATGTTTTCATGTCACAATAGTTTGAAGCGGTCGAAGAATTGAATGATCATGAATTTGCTGCTCTTGAATTGAGTTTTGACATCTCAGATATGCGGTATGATATTGAGTAAGACAAGTATTGAGAATGAAGAGCCTGTTACTGTAAAAGCAATCCACCATACTATACGTTCCCAATTCTTCTTCCGAAAATTCCGTAACACGACGGTACCCATTAGCACTCCAGCCACGAAACCAGCAAGATGCGATACATGAGAAACCTGAAGTTTGATGAAATGAGGCTCCTGCGATATGGATATTGCTTTTTGCTGGAGACTGATTAAAGGGACATTTAATTAATCAAGTGAACAATAAAAAGTAAACTTTATCCGTCGTGTTAAGATAGTATCGATGGTAGATGGCCAGGGATACGTCACTTGAGATCAGAACTACCAAAACAAGAGCTCGGTAAAGTGCAAATTCCATTTCGGCCCAATTAATCAGTAGTTCGGCTATATGTGCTGCAAGCAAAGCATAAACACCTCCAGAGGCCCCAGCCAAGTGCGTTCGCGGGTCAATAGCGTAATCCAGCAAAGAACCTAAAAACCAGTCATGTACGGAAAGTATTTCGTTAGATTCGTTAAATTGACAAAAGCCAGCATATCACATTTCACATATCAAATAAATAGTTTCGGATGCAATACAAATTAAGTGTGGTTGCTGGATGTTTGAAAACAGTATTGCTAATAAGAAAAGTGTGACATCACAGCACTTACCAGCTAGAACACCAGACAGATATACTAAAGCAATTCTCCAGAATTTATGGACCAATTCGAGTGGAATGCCAAGAACGATTTGTGTTAAGATATTGAAAGCCAAATGTATTATCCTGGAGTCTTTGATATTATCACATCTTTACATTTTCAAAATTCGCAATTTCAAATGGTTGAAAGATAGGAAACAATCTTACCCTATATGAATAAACATGTAAGTGAAATATCGCCACACTTCATTGGTTTTATAAGGATTGAATATGAGGAGAGATTTTTGAGGTACCGGTCCATACAATTCAATTCCGCTTCTAAGTCGCACAACATAATAGACGTAAGCTGCTATCTGAAATGGTCATTTTTTGAACAATCGGATAAATAACATGTTTAAAATTTAATGAGTAGCAATAATGCGTTGTTGAAGAAGCGGACACTTAGCGCCAGGAAATCTGAGTTTGTAGATGAAATAGCAACATAGAAAGACCTCTCTGTACATATAGGACTATTAAATAATGTATTCTTCAAAATCGATTAAACTTGCCTCTAAGATAGATATACAGATCATAAAGACCGGCGGAGGAAAGCAGTTGTATTGTTGCAAATAGTTGAATGGTACTGTTCGACTGCTCCGGGGTACCACCATTTGTGCCGCTCGAAACAATACGTGTCGCATGCGCAGCTTTTTAGCTTTGCTCATCTGCAGTAACTGCTCATGCAAAAAGCATTGTAATATTTATGAGATGTATAAAATCGTACCCAAAATTAAATAAATTATTGTTATTAAACTAAAAAAAAAATATATACACATATTGTATACCAGGGTGCAGAATTCAGCAAAATCGAGTAGATGATCACCATTCTTATCAATATTTTGCAGTAAAGCGTCCGCTTCTTGTCTTGATAATCCAAATGAAGTAGCTGAATTACGAACAAATCGTCTTAGATCATGCGTCGCAATATAACCATCGTAATTTGTGTCGAACTGGAAACATGGTAATTTAATTTCAGTACTGATTAATGTATTCATATAATCAGGTTTCACTTAGAAACTGATTTCTTAATGAATATCGCATATCATTAACTTATATAATTACTGAATAGAAGATATCTACATCTTTACTAGTTTTACTTCTAATGAGTGTTTATTAAATTCATTTTCAGTTATTACGGTCGATGTTGAGCGCAGGGCTGCAATATTTCCAGAAAAATGAATTATTGCACATCAGTGCAATCAGCTAACGTTTATGGTAAAGGAGTGATAACAGAAGAATCAAGGATGAAGGACTGTTCGTTACTTCATCTTCCTTATCCTTTCCAGAATATCAGATTCAGCAGCAGTAGAAAACTGATTAAAGAGATTAGAGAAGAACTCAGGAAAATTTTGCTGAATGGAGAGAATGCAAAGAGATTCGATATCATAATACTACTAACCACTTGAAAAATAGTAAGCCATGAATAATATCCATTGGCCATTTCACAGCCATGTCCTTCTTCACCACTCATATCACCTCCTTTATTGCCTTTTTTCTTTAAGGGTAGCAGCTGTGCTTCTCCTTTTTTTTCTTGTCTGTAAATGTGGTTATTTGATTATTTAGTACTGAGATACATGACTGGCATACACAATGTTATCGAATAAACATTGCAAACAATGGAAATGCATATCACAGTGGAGAGTGACTGTCTGAATCCTTGAATATCTCTCTAAAACCGAAAGATTCATTTCAAGATTACATTAATCCAAGCTCTTTTCTACCGTTCCATTCTTCATTATCTTTCATTTCTGATTAATGCCACTGCATTCAGTTAAAAAGCATCATGACAGAAAAATACAAAGAATTAAATATTCTGATTATGTACAACTAATTTACGCTAATTTTTCCAAACTAAAATTTAGTGAATGTTTGAAGAGTGTTGGATAACTGAGTTTGGAAAATCTGCTGGTTACGCCTGTCCCATAGTCAGAAGCACAAACATATATCATCAAACTTCTCTTAAACATAACATTACAAATCTAATGCATCGTATAATCTTATTACTTGTTAGCATGAAAAAATTAAAGAAATTAATCATTCCAGGTGAGGTGATAGATAAAACATTCAAATAATAATTAGGTGGTTAGGATTTATACCACATTTGATAGAAAGGATAAGCACATTTCACCCTCTTCTAATTCGAAGATTTCTAAAGGAGGTCGTTACCCATGAGTCGGTGGGGATCTATTATCTTAATTCCTCTAATTAGATGAATTAGTATTCAAATGTTTCGTCCTATTACTCAAGTTTTTCCCAGTATAGATAACCTCTGAAAGGAACAAATTATTACCTAACGTCATCTCCCGAACTTCCTGTACTTCCTCGGGTAACTTTGTATATTGCGAAATAGAATAATGAAAGAAAGAGAGAAAGAAGATAATGTATGTTTAGAAAAATGAGAGATACATACGGTGTGGTGACCAACACCCTTCTTCACTTTCTTTTGTCATTATTACCAATGACAACCTTTGCATCCTCTGATCTGATCGATCACTCCTCTTTTTTCCTCTTCTCATATTCTGACCAATTAAACCTATACAAACAAGAAATCGATTATTCTGAACACAGTATCTCGGAGGCTAATTTACTTTTCAAAATAGCGGTCACGAAATTAAAATTAAAAATTTCATTTTCCATATTTATTAAATACATGCATGGGTAAATTGTTTTTGTTGTAGTATAAAGTAGGGAGGAACAAAGGAAACCAGAAATTTTGTAATTCAAGGACAGAGAGCTGCCACATGCGCGATCGATGGATTGCTGTTTTCCAGTCTCCCAATGCTTGCTCATCGAAGGCAGGCAATGTTTTTCATTCAAAATGGCAACCAAATGTTTTCAAAAAGACGACTGCATTTTCAAATAATTTCAAAAGATGAGGGAAATCTGCAAGATTGCTAGTTAGCGAATATATTAGACGAGAAATGGAATTAGACATGTATTGCTTGATAAGCTAATGACAAAAATTTGGATGAAGAGCATCATGACAGAAAAATACAAAGAATTAAATATTCTGATTATGTACAACTAATTTACGCTAATTTTTCCAAACTAAAATTTAGTGAATGTTTGAAGAGTGTTGGATAACTGAGTTTGGAAAATCTGCTGGTTACGCCTGTCCCATAGTCCGAAGCACAAACATATATCATCAAACTTCTCTTTCATCAATTGCTCGAATAACAATTTCTTTTGGGATTTAACATTGTCTAATGAATTATTACAGCTCTTTGTTTAACATAAAAATGAAAATTAATGATCACAGTTATCTCCCATATCATTGCTACTTCAGTTCCACTTCCGACTGCTAGAGTAAGGTGATAAGTATTACTCGTTTACCATCTTTCATCCTTCTCGCTGCTATTCTGTTACTTAATCTTTCGACGCTATGTTATAAAAACATTCCATCTTTTTGACCACTCATTTCGACTTTTCGAAGTCTCAGAAAGTGGAAAGTCAATTTATTTCATTGGTTGAATTATTTATGCAAGAAATTTATATAATTTTACATTTCAGCATTTATTCTATAAATATCTCTCCTTTTTGAATCAAAGTTAGAGGTTTGGGTGATACACAGTGAAGTTAAGTTAGTGTTTGTCATAGAAACAAAGAACGAAAAAAGAAATAAATTTGAGATTATTTCATAAGGTCGAGATAGATTACGTATACATGTGCGTTCTTCGCCAGTTTCGGCTCACTTGACCTGCTCTTCGAATTCTTACGTCTTGTTCGTCAAAGATTTCTCCAACCACCTACAAATCACCACTGTCGATTCATCCAAGTCTCACTAATAATTGTTGAAATATTACAAGTTTTAGTATGGATAATTTTTTCAGGTTTCGAGTATTTTGGTTTTTCTTTTATTAACTACACCAATTTTCCTTCGTATTGATATATATATCCTTTCTACTTCAATTACTTCTGAGTGCTTCATTAACTTATTTCCTCTTCATGTTGCATCATTTGAAGTTTTACTCGTAGTTTATGAATCTAAAAGATTGTAATTTTTTTACAACCATTTTTTCCTAATTTTCCTTGCTGTATTTCAGAGATTCCGACTGCTGCTGCTGCTTTTCGTTATGCCGATGATAAAAGCTTCTTGTATTCCCAATTCGTTCACACACTAGTAAACTTGCTAATATCCTGTTAGTTTGTTAACATTTTTCCTTTTATTTGCTAAGAAATTCCATATTTCGATTTAATTAGTTATTGCAAAAAAAAAAAAAAATTGTGTTTCTTTTTAACAAATTTTTGGATCAATTTCTTCATCGCTAATCTTACATATGTTTATTTTTTTAATCCCATCTTTGATACTCTTCATTGCAAGAGCCTTATTCACGTAAATTTGATATTTCGAATTCGTTTAGTCACCCTACTTGAACCACTGCATCATAAATTATGCTTGCAGTACTATCTGCCTGACATTGAATCTTTTCTTTAAATGACAGAGTTGTTAACACTGTGATTGGTTTGTTAATTATTGTCATCACTAACTTATTTAATATTAGTGTTATTGTGGTAACAAAGCACTAAATGATGTTTGAATAGACAATAACTTTGAAAAACTAAAAAGTCGTGTGGATGTCATTTTTGACCTTCTTATACATTGTCGTAATATCTAGAATACTCGAAAAAAGGGAAAATTTTACGAAAATAGAATACGAAATAGATAGAACAGAAAATAATTGAAGACAAATTTTAACTTATGTGCAGAGCAATTATAGATAAACAGTCAGACTATTATTACATTATTAAACTTATTATTGTTACTATTAACTATCACTTAAATTAACAATTTGTTATTTCTATGACCACAAGAATCCAATTATTACTTAGTGATTTGAATTAGTTGCATAAATAGCTCACACTACTAAAATAGTAACCTCTTCGACGAGATCTTCAAGTGTGACAAGTCCCTGAACAATATAATCCCGTTTTTGTTCATCATAAGTAACCACCATGGCAATGTGTATCCCTGTTCTCATTTCAATAAGTAATTGCAAAACTGGCATACTATCAATAATAAAGCGGAATTGATTACTACGCTTCCACAATTGCACAATTGTACCAACTTTTAAAAAAGTTGTCTTACAAAATGGCAGCAAGTCTTTCATATTTAGTATGGCCATAATCTAAAATGCACTGATAATAAGTACATTGAAAATCCAAAATACAACAATAGTAGCTTTTATCATATCTAAAATACATACTAATTTGATGTCCAAATATCACGAAGTAAGAAAAATAGTTCTAATTCATTTCTTTCAATTTTACAATAAAAAAAAAGTTGTAATGATAGATTGTTGTATTTCAATATGTAAATTGCTCAATAACTTCAAGAAAAAAATGAAAAGTAATTTAAGTTGTTTTCATATGAACCGTATTGCGATCACTGCCACTGTAGATTGGAATTCTGGTGCGTCCTTTGGCAGCGATAGCTTTTAGAAGCATTTTATCGATAACGCTTTGATCAGATAGCATGAAAATCTTATCGATAGGGGTCATTACTGATTTGACTATTTTTTCTGGTAAATCGAAAGCCGCCAGTACCAAATCCGTTGTTTCACCATCCATTTGATTGCTTAATTTTTCTTAAAACAACAATAAAGAGAATGCAACTAATGTCATGAATTTCGATAACCTCAAGCAGTCTTATTGAAGAATTACCTTTGGTTAAGTCTCGTTGCATAGTAATTAATACACGAAGGGTTTTTCGATCATACACGTCTCGGCCTTCTTTGCCAAGCAGCCAATCGAGAATAAGTGAAAAGGGATATGAAATAGGAGCAGAAAACACCATAAAAAATATTGTCAAGTAGCGTGTTCGGCTACCAATACACAAAGCATGGCTAAATGAGTAATGAAAGGAAAATATCGTGCGCTAATGCATAAAACTATCAATTGAAAATAATAACTTTGATACAACGTGCTAAAATTAATGTAAAAAGACTAAAGAATTAATAAATTTTGGCCCCAACGAGTTCACAAAAAAAGATTGATGTGGAAATAAATAGTGGAAAGAAAGTACCGTGCGCATATGGCTTGCGGAACAATTTCTCCAAGCAAAGTGATTATGGTAGTAGGTATTACTAACGATAATACTATCTAGAAAGTTTATTTATTTTAATTTATAAGATTGATTGGCTATGTTTCATAATGGAAATACGAAAGACAAATAATCCATAGATTTGTCTTACATAAACGAAATAATCATTGATAGATTCGCACATATCGTTGATAAGTAATGTAACCAATGTATTGCAAATAGTATTACCCAGCACAATTGAACAAAGTAAGAAATTGCCCTGAGAACGTAACGGTAAAATGTTAGAAGCATATTCACGTTCTTTCTTATCTTCACTACCTTCCGCTATTAACTGAAATGGAAGCGGAAATTGTAAATGCATAGATTAGGGATGCATTATGGTCAGTAAATAATTGATGCAGGCATTTCTTATTTTGCATAAGAAAATTAGATCAATTGAATATAGAATAAGCTTAATGATGCAACAATGGGACAATAATTCTGCTAGTGACCAGTTTCACTTATGCCTTCTGCAGCACAGTCATTTTATGTACCTTAAGATCATCGGTACTCAGTGCCATCAAACCAGTAGTAAGACCCGAAAATATGGCACTTAATGTGGCACAAATACTAATCAACACTAATTGGATATAAACAGGAAACAAATGAGTCACTGCTTCTTCCAAAATAATTTGTGTAAATTCTATATTTTCCATAGCAGGTTCCGGCATTAGCTGAGACGGCTCGACGCATAATTTCATTGGGCGGGTTATACTTGAACCTAACTGAAAAATTAGAGAAATGTCAGCTTAAGAAAAATTACGTCTAGTTTCAATGTCCCCAAAGTTCCTCCAAAAGTTTTTCTTCTTCTCCAGTACCTCGCACCATTATCATCACGCTATGAAGAAACGGAGACTTACGGTATCGACAATACATTGTAGCATACGATTATCTATTCGTTTCTCAATTTGCACATTTAAATACGGTGAATGAATCATTTTTTCGGGCGCACAGGTGAAATCAACGGAGAGCCAAAATCGACTGACGTTTAATAGATGCTCACCGAAAACAATCATCCGCTGTTTCTGCTGATTTTTAGCCAATCGAGTCACAAAATTGAAGTAATCATCATCTCTGCATAGATAATGATAATTTATATATATTTTAGTGCTAAGTATCACAGGATTTCAAAGATCAACGTTACTAAACTGTAATCAACGTATGAAATCTATAGCAACTTACAGTCTCCTCTCGATTCTCATACCATAAAATATCGGATTAGCGGTTCTATTCATTGCGCCACTGTTGTCTACAACAAGTAAATATTAGTTACGCACAAAAAAGAGAATTTAATCTTGGAAGAAATAATCTTAGTCGTAATATTCGGAAAGGATTGATCGGTTGAATGCTGGCATCAAATTGAAGATTGAATACTTTCACTATGCACTAATTGTTCATTCGAAAAGGAAGTTGAGGAGATATTATTCCCAAAAAAAATAATGGCAATGAATTATTGAAGTAGGCAAAACAATTTCTTCTTTGCTCTTCTATACAGCTTGCTGACAAAATGAAAAGGCTCTTCAACTTTCACGAGAATCTACCAAAGTTCACAAATTGAAATTTGCCGCCTTTATTTTCAAAACTTTCTTAAATTTATGTGACTGACACACAATGTTGTCCTTCCCGTGTTGAATTTGATCGAAGTTTCCCATTTTGTAGACTTTGCACCTATGAAAACAAGCGAATATTCATTTTCAGTCACTTTTTCTTACTAAATTTCTCAATTTTTTAAATGAGAGGTGAAGGTAAAAAAGGAAAGCTTAGTCCATTCTTGGAATAACGGTTCCTGCAGTGCAAGTTTGAAAAGCAAAGCGCTAAATTATTTTATGATCTTAAGTATCAGTTTCTTGTCTTTTTAATCCATGCTGGAAATGTAATTAGATTCCTTGTGCAAACATATCCCTCACAAAATGTTTGCGCTTTCTGCAAACAATCCTTGTTCATTGTACTTTATGATTTTTCAAAACTTAATAGCTTAGCCTATCGCTGCTGTGGACAAATGAGCCATCTCAAACACATCTTTAATAATTTTGTAATATTTCAACAAACTATTAGCTTATAATTTTTGTTTTGAGAGACATCGAATTTCATATGATTAGAATTGTGGTTCAAAATATCTCTAAGAATTTTCTATGTTGAAGATAATGATCTTCATAACAACACATTTAATTAATTAATGAAATGGATTGCACAATGTACCATTAACAGCTTTAACAAAATGCAAAGAAGGAAGTAGCAGTAGAGATACATGCAACCATTCAACGATATTACTAACTTTAACAGTAGCCATCTATTTTTGTCACGTTTGTTTTATTGTTTCTGACGGAAGATGGATAACAGTGTTTCTCTCATATTACTGAGTTACATTTGCTCGGTTGTTTTCAAATGACAATCAAGTGACACGTATGGCAAATTTCCAGAAGTTACTGTCAACTGGCTTAACACAATATGACAATTTTATTAATTTCGTGAAAATCACATAAGTCCTATTAGGATGTATTTGAAAATAGAAAAATTCAACTGGAAGATTAAATATCCTGAAATGAAGAAACTGCCGAATATTATATTAGAAGGCAGTGTATGATAAGAAACTTGAAGAAAGGAATATTAGAGATCAAGAGGGATGCAATCAATATTATTTGTTTTCAACAGATAATACTCAGTATTACATCCTTAAATTCATTTTGTTGTCATTTCATGACTTAGAATTTCAAGTAATGTTGAGAGATTGAATGAATCCGAGAGTCACTTCTCATACTTCCAAGTACTTTACTTAATGTAGTAGTGAAATGGTTGTGTATTAAAAATTTGAATTTGACTGCAACATGAGAAATTTATCCTTTATTTAGACTCCGACAAGTGAAATGAATTTTACATTAAAAAAACATACAGACATTAGCAGTTCAACAGCAATATGGTGGTACAACATTACAAATTTTTTGAACTACGAAAGTAAAGATATTTCGACGAATAAAGTCATTGCAAATTTCAAATTCCTGTATCATTTAATGCCGTATCATTTTTAACCTGCACGATTCCAGCTATATCAGCCACAATTGTGATCGCTGTCGAAAGGTTTAACTTTTCCACAGTTTCATTGATCGATTCGGCGTTAATATCTAATTTCTCTGCTGGTTTATCCCAGTAGCCATCATCATCAGATTTACCTTCGACATTTAACGGTCGTGTCAAATAATATCCGTAAACCTGAGAAATTTCTACGACGTCTTTATTACAATCAGAAGCCTTTGGATAACAAAATAATGTATAGTGTAGTTCGGTTATAATAAGTACTAAAATTTCTGCAGTATATGGATGGTAAGTTTTGAGAAAGAACAATGTGAAAATGAATTAGGTTCATCTGAAGAAAATAGCATTAGACTATTTCCAAATATAGAATATTTATAGATTTGAGATATAAGGAAAGCAATGTTTGGGATTTGCCAATGAAGAAAGAGGTTCAATCAGAATGCTAAAGAACATTAAAGTAGCAAACGGTCTTACTGTGATGGTGTCAAAGGCAACGGTAGTACTTCTAACTGAAGTAGGAAAGGAAGAAAGTTAATTTAACCTTTTCTTCAGGAGCGATATTCAATTCTCTTCTTATCTCCCTGATCAAATCAGCAATTGTTCCTATTCGATCGAATGGAAGTTTCCTACTTTCAGTACCATCGCTTAGTTTAACATCTATTTCACAATATCTCTGTACCGATTTAAAATTTGCAGAAAATTTTATTGGCTGAAAGAAGGGAAATATACTTTTAATAAGTATATACTCCTTTAAATAATGTAGGAATCTCTTGGCAATAACATAAATCATAATCCCAGCACATTCATATATTGCTGTAATTATTACAAACCTAGTATTTGACGAGAGTAGAACTGTATCATTACTAACAGTAACTATTTCATCCTTGATCAAGTAATAGTAGTTATTATCCAGTGAAAGTTTATTGAAGAATGCCGATTTTCCCGGTAGCATTGCACGCATTGCGATTACGGATTCCACATTATACAACGCATTGCATGATTCGTTAGGACAACGTGGTAGAGAACCTTAATTCTCGTCTTTGTGAAGAGGAAGTTTGTAAAAAATCATTTCGAAAAAAAAAACTATTATAGTGATGCGTGTAGTAATTATGGTGTTGTCCAAAGTTCGTATAAAAAATGGCACGATTAACCAGCAGATTCACAGTTATCGATCATCTTCTCCAGGCATTGAATGCACATAGCGTGTTCGCATTCATCTTTTGACGGGAATCCACTAATTGGCAAGTTTTTACATTTGACTTCAGCTTGGCATCGAGCTATCTGATAGGTATGTATCGCATTGGATTAAAAGTAGTTATTTTACAGTAATTTTTACAGTATACATTTTAGAATTTTGTTTTTACAGTAATCAGTTTGTTTTAAACTATCAGTATTTTTGGTAATCTGATCTTTCTTGAGAATAGATAATTTCTTAATTTATCGACAATTTCAGCCATGATAATTAATAAGAAGGAGCAAATATTTCGATTCAATTCCACTAACGTCAGCATGTCTAAGGCATTCAGTAGAAGGACACCTTTCTTCAACACCTGAAAAGGATATTTTATTTCGTTTCAAAAAACATTTTCCGGAAAACACAGTGAATTTTAAATTTAAAAGGTCTTCTTTTTATAACAGTAAGACTGCACGTCATAAAAGCTCCTTAAAACACTAAAAATGAATCAATAAGTATTGCATATCCTCAATAATTGAAATCTTGTTAAGATTCTTCAAAAGAAGCAACTTGGAATGATCAAAAAAAAAATCAGTACCTGTTGAATATTTACGACCGGAAATAGTCTCGAAACAAGCGGAGCATATTTTTGCTTGACAGCAACTTGTCGTTATGTATTTGCCTTCTTCCACGTATTTTTTACATATACCGTCGCACAGATTGGACTCATCCACCTCAGATGCTTTTCCTGAACAATCTTCCGCTGGGCAAACTAAAACATCGGTCACTTTCTGCAGAGAAAAATAGATTACAGGTGAAATTTAGAAGTTAGTGATAGATTATGTCATATCTTTTATTTATGGAATTTATACAGACAGACCGGGAATGGGCAATATTTTGTATTCTTCCATACATGTTGAACAAATATTATGTTTACATGGCAAGCATTCCAATGAGACTGCCGAAAGTTGTCTGCAAATTTCAAAAATAATATGCGTAATGAATCTCTAGCATAAAGATTTATTTATCAGTAGAAATGAGTGAAAAACAAAGAGACAAATAAGATTATTTTATAATATCAGTCGATGAATTCAAGCCATCACTATATGAAAACTTTGATTTTAGTTCAAGAGAAATGAAGGTGCGGTAATTCTTTCAAATATGATATTTCAAAGATGTTGAAACGAAACATCAAATGTTATCCACTGGAGTTTTGTTTCACCTTTTATAACAGCAATTCAAATTAATTGAATTAACATAAATTCGAGGCAAATTTCCTGACAGACTGACTTTTGGCAAAAAGCAAATTCACATCAGGATTGCTAACCGGCAGCAGAATTGACTCTCACAACATTTCCAATTCAAACGTCTACAGTAGCTTTCATCGAATATTGAGAAACAATTCGATGCAAGGCAAATCTGATTCATTTACGATAAATTTACAAGCATATGTAAATAATACAACCTAGCCTAACACTTTACATACCACAGAGAAGCATCAAAGATGAAAAAGCAGGATGAAAAGTTATGTTCTTATCACTGTATATAATTTGACCAAATTTTGTTAGGAAAGAAAAAAACAGAAAAAAAACTTTAAATTGGGATTTTTTTTTGCAAATTAAAAATACAATAAAATATTAAAATGTTTGTTTTGCTAGCTTTAATAACAACTTTGGAAACAGACCATAGGTGAAACAATTTCCTGAGAGGCACATGAGTTTTTTGAATTTGGTTTTATCTAAAATATTTACTTTGCGGAATTTTACAAACTTAATACATTTTAACAGTAAAACATAGAATAATTGAAAGGGATTAACCTTACGTGCGTTTCTCCACCGTTCTACGCAATGTTTGCAAAAGACATGCAAGCAAGGAGTGAACTGAAGAATCTTCCCCGGTGAAACAGTCTTACTGCAAACAACACATTCCATCATTTACTACTGTGCACCGCAATATCACCGATCAAAATGATGAAGTAACGGAGAATGTTTATTCTAATCTCCTCATCAATGACATAACATCACTGTACGCGACAGATTCATGCATTTATCTTCTGACTGTCGCAATGTGCAATGACATTTGGGATGATTGTTAACTCATGTCAAATTCTCCTACGTAAACGTCTCTGGGCCTACAACTTTCTACCACTATCGACCAGTTTAACACTTAGTAGTTATTTTGAATAGTATTTAAATACCCGCGTATTTCATATTCAGACGACCAAAGCAAAAGTCTAATAATTATTTAATGTAAGGTATCCGTTTGGATCTACTTCCTTCCGAGAATGCCCGATAAATCTTTTGATACGTCATCCAAATATTACCATTTATCTTTTGGGAATAACAAAATATTTTCGGCAACATTACTGATACATTCTTTCCTCTACATAATAAAAAAGTGAATTTTTCAAGATCTGAAAATACGATAACTGATACTGGAGAAACAAATTAGCTGTTTCAACCGCTGATACATAATGTCAAGAACCAAAAAAATCTCCAGTTGCATGAATTGATAATTATATTACTGAATTATTTTGCTCACTAATAATATACTTGGAAGTATGATGATGATGTGTGTACAGAATAGCAGTTTAAAATGCGTTAATTTAATTTTAAACAGCTAAATCATAATGTATATGTTTATAAAATAATGAATAAGGCAACAGAGATAACGATATAGTAAAGGACAGATGATGTGACAAACATTCTAACGGTTCGCTTTGCTTCGGGTGCTACACCAAGATATGATAAATCATCAACTTCCTTCAGAGTTGTCTCTGGCTTCAGATCAGTGATAATGACGTTGTCCGTTCCCAAAATATCAAGAATCTTTTCCGTCTTTACAGGTTGTGCTGCAGTATGCAATATGATGCTAACACACATTTATTTATTTATTATGTATTATTATGTAATCAGCTTATCGAGAAAGGTGTTCAATTTTTTTCAAATTAATTAATTACCTTCATGTTTTAGCAAATCCTTTTTAATAAGGATCTATGTGAACGCTGTATGAAAAAAATTTGAGGAACAATTTTGAAGACAAATGAAACTAACAATTTTTAACGCAAAGAGCAAAATCAGATTTCATTTCGCAGGTGCTTTGCACGATTGCTAAAAGTTTGTTAAATTACTCCGAAAAAAATATTTTTTGTAAAACTGGAAAGATCTACGAATCTTTTGTCGAGTACTATCTTTGTTTTTTATTCAAAGCTTTCTTTTTTCTGCACTTAAGTCTGACCCAGTCTAGGATGCAGATCAAAAAAATATGTCATTGCTACGTGTCTAATCAAAGACATCATTAGATTGCTAACCTCAACTCAGGAAATACCTGGAGTGAACAATAACGACCTAATTTGAACTGGCAGAATCTTCTTTAGGATATATATTTTTAACAGCTTTTAATTAGATCTTTCAAATTCTCTAGCAGAAATGAAAGAATTAAGAGGATAGATAAAATGGGATGAGAAAAAAAAGATAAAATGAGGAAATTTGCTAAGTGAAAGCAGTTTTAAGAAACTAACAACCGCCAGGCAATTCTAACATAAAACAAAATGCATCTGTAGAATTTGAAACAGTGACATTGATCTGAAAGAATTTTAAATTCAAAAACTTTAAAACAATTTTTTATTAAAGTGAACAATGATGACTGCATTCGAGGAGGTTTCGTCACCTCAGATAAGGAAATCTTTTTCCACTAGCTCTATTTAAATATTTTGTGTCTTATGGAAAGAAAGCTATAAATCTATGAAGGCGCACTTACAGTTAATCAGTCATTTAAATTCTTCCAAACAATCAATTCCAGGAATTTTTTTTTTTGAAACACATAGAGTTTTATCAGTTTTACAGATAACGAAATAAGCAACAGTCTTACCCCCACGGTTGAATATTTGTAGCCAGCAGCTGTTATGGGTTCCTCCTTAGCATTTTTAATTTTCTGATTAATATATCCATATTGTTGGTGAAAATTTTTGGAAGAAGCTCTCACGGCATAGCCTGATGCCTCACCGATCTCTGAAAATCAATCGTCGGCTGGTAAATTTGCAAAATTTAGCATACATCTCTTTCTTCAAGCTATTATGGAGGAAAATTATCGGTTATCATGTAATAAGCAATTCTTAATTGTGACCCATAATTTGTAGTACATCTGACCAAAGATTTCTAAAGTTTTTGTATTGAGGAAATTGCCTGCTATGTTAACATATTTCGAGAAGTTGCAAAATCAGGAAGTGAACTTTTCGTATTCTCACGAATTATTTTATACGCAAAATATTTAGAAAAAAACACTAATAACATCTGTCATATACAATTAACATTTAGCATACATCTCTTGACCAATGTGAACTTTTTCGAAATATTTCTAGTAAATTTCTTTATTTTGTATGCATTTCAAATGCTGAAAGCTGTGCAAAATAAAACAGAAAAAGGAAAAACAAGTCTTGAAACTTCTTATTCGAGTTATATTCATCACTAACTCCCACTCTAACTTATCTAACTTATATGTATTCTAATTTGTTAGAAAAGGGAAAACTTGCAAAAATCAAAATAGATTTTGCTTAAATGATATAATAAAGCTGATTTATTAGAACTCGCAAATACACAATTGTTTTTTGAACAGTGCAACTAATAATAGTGAAAATACAAACTATTATTTCTGATTGATCTCTTTAACCACAGACATTACTATACTCTTCTATTTTCCATCACTAATCCACTAGTAGTTTTTAGCAAATCTTTTCTGAATGTTTACTTTGCATGATAAGAACATCGCCTGAATCGATCGGTTCAAACAATTCACCACTTTGAGATTTGCAGTAACTTGAAACTGCTTTAAAATCATTAGCATCCTGAAATTAGAATCAGTATTTTCAAATAACTTATATATATATATATATATATCTTCATATTTTGCAGATTTAAATCATATGAGTAGTAATTGATTAATTGATCATACACATAAATAAAACTAAATGCATGAACACAGGTATTTTATGATGTTTACAAAATTGAGAATCTTAATTTGTCAAATTTTTGTGGACTGTTTTTAAAACACAGCATTGCAGCATGAATCACGTACTTTTGAGAGTCACATTTAGAAAATAATTTGTTGAGTATTCCTGCTACTTACAAGTCTTTTTTGAATCCGTTTAATAAATAACAAACCATTAATGGATTTGGAAACTCATGGAATAAATAACATTTTGAAGCATTATTAATCGCAAGCAACACAAATCCATTATCACACGCCTGCTTCTCAATAACTGACACTGAAGAACTAATTAATGACAAAAGAATATCAGAATATACCTTCATCTCCACAGCCCAGCACCCACCAATAATCCGCCAACATCTCTGAGCATCATTTATTCATCAAACAATTTTTTCTTTTAAACACCCCTGTGCCAATGCTAATTTAAGAAAAGCATTTAAAAGATACGTGCTGAATTTCGATGCTCGCATACCACCGCTGTATATTTATCTTTTTTCAAAGCAGCTTCGTATTCTGAAAAAAATTGAAATTATATTTTGGTACAATACAACATTTATTTGAGTCGATTAAGATGTTAAAATGCTTGGGAATACTTGTTGAAAAAGAGAGATATTTATTTTTGATCCATTATTTGTAAAGGTATAAGCTAATGGTAAAGTTCATCACAGTTCACTTATATAGATGATGGTTTAATGTATTTCATTAAAATTAGTTGGAAAATTTAAGTGAGAAAAAATATAGAAATTTTTTGTAGATAAGAAAAAACGCACGAAGACCAGCTGTTGTTGTAGACAGCCTTAATATTTCCAGTGACGGTTTAACATTAGTTAAATCGGAATCATTTTTTTGACCATCACGTATATACATCCACTTACTTTTCTCATGAACAATTCCGAGCGGTATTTTTGCTTCTGAGCCTATATATTATATGGTATAAATTATTTACATCATAATTGTAATGATTCCAAAACCTTTAAAAAAGTAAAAAACAACTTTTCTTCAACTTTAACTCCCCAATCATTTTATGATATCTTTATCATTTTTATTTTAATTTTGCAATGAACTGTTTCTTCGTTTTAGTTTTCTCCCAGTAAAAATATAAAAAAACCAAAGAAACCAATACATTTATGCAAATTTTTTAAGACTTATAATTGTGCATAATTTATGCACAATTATAAGTCTCAAAAGAAAGGGTTCAAAAGCGTAATCGGTAATAAAATACGCTACAGAAATAATGCTTACCACATCGAAGAAATAAGTTGTTGCTATGAATTTGCCTAAATTAGATTAAAAAAGTCACCAGTCAAACTCTTAAACTCTTAAAATGACCACGCATTCAATGTTGTCTTTTCTTTGGAAGTTATTGTGAAAATGGATTACAATATACCAATCTCTGATAACATTATTTCCAGCAAACGACTCTCATCATTCGTGGGTGTTGGTAGCTGTCCACCAGTTTCCTTGCAATAATCATTTGCTTTATTCCAATCCATAGCTGATTTCACCTGCAATAGAAGAACTGAACTCTAGATGTAATGACTATATGCAATGTAATTGCAAACTATCTTACTTTTGCAACACCAAAGCATGGCGTTCCCCTTTTGTTTAGATCTTGCTTCCAAGTTAAAGTCCCATCAAAACAAATCATATCTTCATGTTCGCCAATTTGAACAGCTACAACCTGAAACTTCTAGTGTAATTCATCCATTTCATAAATATATTCACATACACCAACTCTCCATTAAATATGTTCGTGTCTTGCATATAAGCTTACAATGCATACATACTTCCACTAAATTAATTTGCCATCAGTTCAGCAAACACTTGTTTCCTAAAGGAACTGGTGGTTTCATTTCAGTTTTAGTTCAAGTGTATCTACTCTAATCTTAATTAATTAATGCTTTCGTTAAAAAAAAATAGTTAATCAAATCCCATCATAATTTTTGATACAAATATAGATGTGTACTGCAGTTTTCTGAAATATTTTTTGTTCCTAGAACAATCGGTATGATATTTGACGGAGAAATGATAATTTAAAACACTGATCAATTTCTTGAGAATTGTGAGCATGCAGAAAAATTATTGGTTCGAAAACAGTGTTAAAATAATATAACTATGAAATGCACTATCAGAAGCACCAAAAATGAAAATTGAAATTCCAATTTGAAAACGGAATTATGGAATAAAACTTAGGGAAAAATGAATATTACTCCGAACCACGACTAAAAAGAAGTAACTCGCCAAAAGCTTATACATTTGAACACAATAACTTAATTTTCACTCTTCATTACTTATGTTTTAGAATTGCAATCAAAAATAATTAGCATTATGCAAATTTTTTAGAAGCTTCTTTTAGCACCGTTAATAGCAATTGTACTTTAAATACTAAGTTAAATAAACTTTAAAATGTGCTTCTCTATACGTGCACTCTGAGGAAGGTGTGGAATATTGTAACTGCAATGAAGCAGACTGTTTACATATACTTTAGGAAGCATTTAAACTTGATAAATGTGTACTCATACTTATATTTCAAGTCCTACTGTTTGTTCTGATCAAAAGTAAAAAAAGACAACTTACTCTTCAGAGCCTTAAAATTTTAAGAATGTTCAGCTTCAGAATGTTCAGTATGGGAAGCAAAACGATATGAAATAGTTTATAATCTAAGGATGGTATATATATATTCCAAGATAGTGAAGAAAAGGATTCCTACGGTTAACGTCGCAAAGCATCTCCATGTCCTTAGCATGCTTATATGGAAATGCGGAAATGTTAACGAGACTTACAGAAAATCATTCATGTCGTATTCCATCATGAAGTACTGCTATAGGATCAAGTAATTGCATAAATGTTCAATATTTAATGGACCATGCTCAAACTCAGCAGGATTTTGTTCTGTAACAGTAGGGAATATGAGCAGGAAGGAGGGTTGGAGAATAGTTGACTTTGTTGTTGAGTATTGTCTTTGTGAGATTTTTAATTAAAAAAAATAATCTACAGATGGGCAAGTCGAAGAAACTGAAATCAAGTGCCGGCGATTTGGTTTCCAAGTCAACACTTCCATTGGATCTGCAAATTGAACAGAATAAACGTGAAAGTGGGCGTGGCACAGCACGAGTGAAACAACGAAAATTGAAACGCACCAAATCGGATGATGAGGTGAGAACAGTCAAAAATGCTATCTTTATTGCTAATCTGCACAACTTTTTAAAAGAATTAACATTCTCTCCCATAAAAAATTATATGATTTCTTCAACCATGTGATTCTTGTTTTTACAGTACATCGATGAATCACTATCAAGTAAAATTCTTAAAACAGCTTGGAAGCAAAAACAAAGTATAGAAGCAGTGGAGAAAACACAAGTAGAAAATATGATACATGAGGATGCATTAAAAAGGTTACATATTGTTTTACGCATAACTTATTTTGTTTTAACAGTAGCTCATAAGAGCGTGAAATATTATTTGAAAACTTTTTAGGCTGAGATCTTCGACAAGTCGGGTATTAGTTCATTCTTTTGTTTCCTTTTGAAACCAATTTAAAAACATAGAATTCTGCAAAGCTTATTTTGTACAATGCAATCTACAGCATTTATTATATGACTGTATAACTCATCATAAAGTTAATAGTTTAAGGATACGAAAAGTAAGTCTTGGAAATGATTCAGTAAGTTCTCTATCGGATGGCGATATCGTCTCTGATAATGACGATTATGACGATGTTTCTATGGTTAGTACATATTTTCTCAATATTTATTAAAAGTGTTAAACACACCAGTTTGTTAATGTTGATATAAGCGTTTTATGTTGATGAGTTTCAGAGAATGAATTTTATCGTCAAATGAAATTATAAAATCATTAGCAGATTAATTATGAGAAAAAACAAAGAAGGCGAATTTTTTATAATAGGATTCTACAGATGATAAATATTTATGCTACTAATAATTTGCTACAGCAAATAAATCCGGAAGATGAAGCAGCAGTCGAAAAGTTTATATTAAAAACTGATGCTGTATCCCGGACACTTAACGATATCATAATTGAAAAGATTGAGAAGAAAAAAGCGGAACTTGAGTTTCGGTCGATGTGTCCAGAAGATGATGGCTTTATGGTAACGTTATTGGAATAAATTTTAATAGAGTTAAAGTTTTCATTTATAATAATGAGAATTTGCACTGATATTGGGAATTTAGCACTGCATAAGAAGATAGGGAATACTCTATGTGTTGAAACTCTTTCAACTTCTTTTTGTTAATTTCAGATAAAACAGATGGATCCAGCAGTTGTGGAAATGTACCGCGAAATTGGATTAGTGTTATCTCGTTATCGAAGTGGTAAAATACCCAAAGCTTTTAAAGTCCTTCCTAAAATGATGAACTGGGAACAGTTATTATAGTAAGCTTTATTATGGCATATTGCCCTTGTTTCTATGAAGACATGAGACTGCTGGTAGTCTGATTGGCCTTACAAATCCTGCTTAAAAAAAACTTATCTCAAAGAAATTCAGACCATTCTCAAATTACTAAGGTAGTTCTGAGATATCAAACGTCACAATTAGGTGATAGATTTTTTGACGTTTTTTGTAGCCTTACGAATCCTGATAAATGGTCAGCAGCAGCTGTGTACCAAGCGACCAGAATATTTGCATCAAATCTTCATGCTAAAATGTGTCAGAGGTTAGTCAAATTTTCCAGAATTTTATTGCACTATAGGTTCTTGTTTCCCTTTCCTTTTCCTTCGAATCACTTGGCTGAACGACATCATCTGAGATGTTGCTTTCAACACAAAAAGGAGTTTGATTTTTCGTCAAAGCTCTTTGAAGTTTTGGTGTTCTAAGTTGATATAAGGTTACATTTCGAAGCATAACTTTTTCAGGTTTTACAATTTGATATTATTGCCACGGTTGAGGGATGATATTGCCGAATATAAAAAGCTCAATTTTCATCTATTTCAAGCTCTAAATAAGGCAGTTTATAAACCGCAAGCTTTTTTCAAAGGAATTCTTCTGCCACTTTGCGAAGTAATTCTTACTACTAAAAATTTATTATGAATAGTGAAGATTCAGTAAAGCGTAAAAAGGAACTGGAAGAACAAAAACTATATAATATTTCCTTAACTGAGAGTTACGTGAAACAATGATATATGCTGCAGTTGCAATGGTGGAAAACCAAAACTGCATTGTTTCTTAAAATATTATTTAGTTTATGGCTGTAAGTTATCTACTTAGAGAATGAAAAATTCACTTCCTTATAGGGAAACTTATCGACTTAGTTTTTCTGCAGTTTTATTTCTCTATATAAATTGGCGATGATTGCAAAAAAGGAATGGGATAGGGCCATTTCTATCATAATAAGGAATACAGATAAATTAATTTTGCAGTCGGGAACGTGTACATTACGTGAGGCAACGATTTTTGGTTCTGTGTTAACAAAAGCATCGATACCAATGATGCATGCTGCAGTCGCGATGCTTAAGGTAAAAAAATCAATGCCGTATTTTTTCTTGAAATACTATTTAGTTTATGATTATAAGTTGTCCACTTAGTTTCACCAGTATTCTTGCATTTCTGTGTTCTTATTCAGATCGCAAATATGGAATACACTGGATCGAATTCGTTGTTTTTGAGGATATTGATTAATAAAAAATATGCTTTACCGTATAGAGTCATCGATGCACTGATAAAGCATTACTTAAGGTAAGCCTCACATATCAAGCTGTTAAGTTTCGCTTAACATAATTTGCATGATTTGATTTTTCCAGCATTTGCCATTTCTCTTCGGATCGAAATGAATTCATCGATAATTGAATTGCATTCAGAGCATTATGGCTTACTGGAGTTTTTTAGGTTTCGAGAGGAAGAACGAAAGTTACCCGTTCTATGGCATCAGTCACTACTAGCCTTCGTAGAACGATATAAAAATGATTTCAGCGATGAGCAGCGCGGAGCTTTGATGGAGCTAACAAAAGTAAGGTTTCATTGAATAAAGATTTCCATTCTGGTGTGGTGTGACTTACGTTAAATTTGCATTAGTCTCTACAAATACAGATCATTAAATAAAGGCGGACTTTGTTGTTTAAATTAAATACATTTGACATAAAATAACTTTAGCTTATTTTAGATGCAAAATCATTATCAAATAACACCCGAAGTTTGCCGTGAGTTGGTGTCTAGTAAGAAGAAAGAAAATGAACCGGTAACCAAGTGCGGAAGATAATTGAGATAAATAAAACATTATCACCTTGAAGAATTTGTATTCATGCGTTTAGTTTGATTATGGCAGACACTTTTCCATACCGAGAGAAAGGTGATATGATTACCTTTTATTGTCATTTAAAATCAAATTTTGTTTTATGTCTTCGCATTTAGAATTGTTACCTTGTTTTGTATTTTGTAATTCATAAATGGCAATTTTTATGAACGTCTTATTAACAAACAGATCGGATAATAAAATATTATAAAAAGAGCAAAGATAATAAAAGAAGTGTGGGAAATTGATTTATAGTTCAAAGCTACTTGATTATATGGTTCTTTTGTAATGATTTTTATTGTAACCGTCGGGAAGTTAACTGCTGACATTCTCTTACTATTTTAATTCTCAAACATGGTAGTAGAGGTTTGACATTTTCTACTGTCTCAATTAGAAAGTTAGA